CTAAGCCTTTAAATATTTTGCACATGGAGAATATGAAACAAAATATTTTAAGGTTTTATATATATACATTTGAATAGCTAAAAAATCAAATTACTACATCAATACCATAGAATTCCACTATAACTTATCAAGCTTAGTAACTAAGATGTATCTTAGTCTAAAGAAATATGAAATTTCGAGCAGACAAAAGACACACCCTACCTCCTTGAAATATTGGTTCAAAAGAAAGAAATGGAGTCCAAGCCCATTAAAATAGCAGAGAAAGCAACTAGGGGACATTCTGAGCTTCCAATTGGTTACTTGTGTCATATATATAAGTGTATATAAGGGAGCATTTCCAAAAATTGAAAGAGGTGCACAGGGTGCCACTGTGTTTGATTTATTACATGAGCAATATCTTAGAAACAGAAAAGATAAGATGTTCTTATTTTACATTCTAGCTTGTCAATATCGGTAATTTGAGTTTCTAATTCGTATAAAACTATAGACTTAGTATTTTGACTTCCCATACATCTAATTTGAACCAGTGCTGCATTCAATATACCATGTGACACACAAAAATCGATGTTTATCTGTGTTTCTTTTAAAATTTACTTTTAAATTAACAAATTGAGTAATATATAGTTCTAAAATTTGAATTATAATCTACAGTTTGATACCCAACTTATTGACATAAACTAATGTAATAGTAGTTTCAATGTAAGTCAAAAAAAAAGATGACATGGCCTTTCACCTGTGACCCATATGGAAAGAGTTAAACATGAATTTGGAAAAAGCACCCAAATACAACTCATCAGTACTATTAATCAATAAATATAATAGATTATCTATGAGTAGCAAGTACATTGATCAGTGTCATGTAAACTAATCAATTATTGGCATCCTGTTTACCAATGCTATAAATTTTCCTAAATACAACTCATCAGTACTACTGTCACAGTGTTAATATCGTATAAAAAATATTTTTTAATTAAATTAGAACTGTGGGCAAGGGGAGAAGCTATGATTATATTATTGCTTGTAGTGTGCTGGGTGTGAATCAGTTTTATGCTCTAAACAAATACAAGAGAAAGCCAATTCAATTATTGTAGTTTTAGGACTCTCTATATTATGTGCATAGTATTATTTTGTGTTTTAAACTGTATGACTTGAAATAAACATAAATAATATTTGGGACCAGCAATATCATTACAAAAAAAAGGAATACAGTGCCATGTCCATTGACAGCAAAAGGTCTAAGTTGTCAGAACTAAATATCTTGATTTTTATAAATATTTTTTGATTTATTGTTATAAAAGTATCCAAAATTCACAAACTAGAAATTTATAAAGTTAAGTACCAAAACTTAAATGAAATAAAATGAAATAACTTTTTAAAGATACTCAATATCCTAATATACATTTGTATATGGGACACGAGATATTTGTAATTTGACTGTTTCATTCTCGTAACTCCATCGTTTTTTTTCACACAAATCTGTCCAGCTATAAATGGTTTCCAGTGTACTCTGAGAGTGTCTAAGCTCAACTTTAAAGCAATAAAACTAGGTGAACCAAGATTTGAAATATCTACTAGTTTTGGGTGTTAGAATAAAGAGTATGTAACTGTCTGTTAGAATATCCATTCATTCTATAAAGAAAAAAAAAAGGTAATTTAGAGTTTGTATTTTTCAACTTTTTTATTTTACCCTAGATTGTTTATTTCACTACAGTTAGTGTTAGGGTAGAAAAAAAACAGATATTAAATATACATTTTTATGAAAAAAAGGCTTCTGATATTAATTTAGAAGAATCTAGAAGTTATGCAAATAAAATATGAGAACTGTAAAATGAAAAAAAAGTATTTTTATTCTTAACATAAAAATTATCTTGCACTCAGATTAGTCAAAGTTCAAGTCAGACTAACTCAGAATATTCCCAGACAAATCTTTAATAAAAATTTTGATTTTTTGTGTGCAATATACTTGTAATGTTTATAAACAGACAGTAAATTTGGAATTACAGAAATCATTGCTATGTATAGGTTCACAGAAACTGGACTGGTTCACCAACACCATTCACATATGTTTAATGCATTAGTATTTTCATACTTGATGAGTAAAGTACACAACACCATGTATGTTAATTAAACTAACAAAAATAAAACTATTATAAAAAAAACTCTATAGGACTGAAGAAAACACATGAAAGTGTCAAAACTAGTTTCCTAGTTTTTGTATTAGTATATTTTTTTTTCAAAAGTTTTTTCCATTAATTTATCTAAACACCTATTCCTAATTTGAGTATTTTAAGTAATAACTTTAAGGTCATTTCATTACCGAAGCAAGTTGTTTATACCCAACCTATTGGTTACGATACAAAATAAAACAAGAATTTCACTCTTTTTTTTTAGTGACAATAGATATATCTTCTATATGTCTACTGCAAGACAAATGTCATTTAACATAAAACAACTATACTTACTTTGCCTGTAATTTGTCTTTTTCTTCAGTTTCAACAATTTTCTCCTTCTCTTTCTCCACTTCTTTCTAGAGAAAAATTACACTTTTGTAATGTAGCTCATATTTTTAATGAATAAACAAAGTTTTTCATTTCAAATGAAATCTTAAATGATAAGTTAAATAAGACAATAAGAAAATTTTTATGTAAAGAAAATGATGAACAATCATGAAAAAGATAAAAATTTGTTTTTGTCTTTCACATGAAAATGTATTTCTTTAATCACACAAAGGAACAATAAACTATGCCCACTCATGTGCTAGATGTGAAGATAAAAAATATGTTAATACTTTCAAATAAGATGTCATGCACATACTCAGGGGGTTTGAGGGGGTGATGTGAAAAAATTAAATTTGTATAGTTATAATACAGCTGCTTATGGTACTTAACATTTTGGATGTTTGTGGGTTTTCAGTGAACAGCCATGCAATTTTATTGAGAATTCTCACACACAAAACTCATTTAAACCATCATGCCAGACTGTTTTCATGTCCTTAAGTGAAAACATCCAGCAAACATTTTATACTCATAAAGGGACATCCAACAAATATTGAAGAATAATTGGATAACACTTGTTCATTCATACTGGTTGCCTTTCCCCTCCTTTACTTCCAGCTATTAATTTTTTGATTGGTTAGAACCGGGATTTGTAAATACATAAAGTGCATCTCATATTTTGTACTGGAAACTACCGAGAATGTAGTCAATTACAATGTCAATACAAATAACTTTTTGCCTCTGCTGAAATGGAACATCTAAACCATACTTGTTGTTTGGTAACAATACAAAATAATAAGTGTTTGCACGGTGTTGAACTAACATTTACTCTTGCAAACAACAGGACAAGATATCCATTTCTAAAAGAAACAACAAATTATAGGTTTTGCCAGCTAAATTTTTATTCGTATCATGGGTAAAACTGGTCTACCCCTCCCCCATATGTCCCCAAAACCTTTTGAGGCAAACTGAAAAGGGTTTAAAACTTTTCATTATTTTACTTAATGAAAACCCTGTTTCTAGAACTAAAGTGCTACTTTATTTTACAGGTTGTGAGTCTAATAAATTGCATTCAGCAAAAATAGTCTTCTAGCAAATACTTACTCAAAAAATAAAAATTAGACTTAACAGCACAATAGTTCCAGGAGATTTACAAAAAAATTTACTTCAAATACAATAACTATCTTCACACACCTCCAAGCCAGCCATAAAAGCATCAAGTGGATCTTCTTCACTATCAGAATCTGATTCTTGTTTTTCCTCCATCAAGGTTGGACTTCCGGGAGCAGGGATGTAAGCCAAATTACTGTTGTTTTCTTCATCATCTTCTTGCTCAAAATATCTGTATAACAGTTAGCAAACAGTTTATTTTTTTCTAATATTTCATAGTGATAATATTTTGCAATATTTATGTAAATAAAACATGTATATAGATATCAATATTTAAATTACACTATATACTTGTTCCAGAAAAATGTTTTCAATACGTGTAAATGATTAAGCAAGTGTATTTGAATCTGAAACATTTTACATTTTAATAATATCCTATTTGCAGGCTTATCATTAATTCTAATTACAACTCTGCTTTATATTCAGAAAGCAACAATAAATTCCTGTTTGAGAAAGTTGAATACTTAATTAAATTGAATAAAAAATAAAGACTGTAATCCATTGAAGAAAGACCTTCATAATTTTATTTTGTCATTAAAACTGCCTGCTCATTGCAGTGAACTATCTACATATTTCAGTATGACTTGCTTATTTATAAAAAAGGTTATGAGATGTAAAGATGTTTCAAATAATTTCTAATGCTAAATTTCTAATATTCTATTTTGATTAATGCTTATTTCATGTATTAAAATGATTACAGCAAGTAAAGATTTTATGTTCCATTCAACAATTAGCATGAAAGTATAATTCTCAATTGTGTTAGTTGTAGAGCTGGGCAATTTAATATATTAATCAATATATATATATAATAGATTATCTATGAGCAGAGAGTATATTGATCAGTGTCATGTAAACTAATCAATTATTAGCATCCTGTTTACCAATGCTATAAATTTTCCTAAATTTTTAAATGTTTACTGTTTTTATCTTAATATCAATCCATTAATATGTATAAAGATGTAAGTTTTGAAATTGCCAAATTATAGCCAGAGTTAATCATTTACAGAATACAATAACATTATTTTATCTTTATTTGATTATTTAGCTTATTAAAGAAGAAGTCTCTTTTTTCATGTAAAAAATACTGAGAATTTGGTTAGTGTTACACAGTTAACTTTTAAAAGTCTACTGGTATCATAACATCATTGTAAAAATGAAAAATTACTACATCTATTGTGAGGAAGTTATACATTGTTATTACTTTGTAACAAAATATTGCTGTATTATCTGAACAGACTTTCTAGTTTTAGTTTTATTCATTCCCTAATGATTTACAAACTTAATATAAAGTTATAACAATAAAAAGTTTTATTTTATAAAATAAATTGATGTTACTTAATTTTTATGTTATTTGACTATAAATTCAAGCTACTGGAAGGATATCTAAATAATGCCAAGTTTTTAACTTTGGCTAAGTATGCATTTGTCTAATAAATAAAATGAGTTACAATTACTAATTTTCTTCGGATGGTTATAAAGCGTCTGAGTAACTGTATAGTTATAGATACAACTTAAGTCCCCAACACTGTGTAAACACACATATAAACACGCGAGACAATACTAAATTGTCCAATGTCAATTCTGGAAAAGTGTATCTAATTAAAAACACCTTAGGTGTGAAAAAAAGGTACAGCAAAAACAGGACTGAGTGTGCAACTTAAAGGAATGAAATCAAAATTGGTGGCTAACTTAGTAGCTACACTTATAGCACTGATAACAATTTGACAGCAATTATTCATTTTTGATGAAAGAGTTAGCACAAAGGATCACATATAAAGTGTAATAGACTTAAAACAAGACCCAAAACTTGAGCGCTTTTGAATAGTTGACTGTCCTTTGTTCTCCTGAAGAAGAATAGTCAACTATTCGAAAGCGCTCGAGTTTAGTGTCTTATTTTAAGTCCATTACAGCAATTATTCATTCATTAGTCAGCCAATCTGCATTTTTTGTTCAACTTGGGGCATGATGGTGGGTAAAACAAAATACACGGCCTATAATGAATAACTATAATTTAATAAATTCATCCGCCAAGTGCACTAGAGAAAGGAAAAGCTGAATAACTTACTCAATCACTTCACTGCATATAAACTAATAAGTACAAAAAAACACAAGATTTATAAAAATTACATAATAACTAAGGGGAGATCTAACACACAGTATAGTCCTGTACTATAATATTATGTTTTGAGACACTGTTATCAAAACATATCATTCAAAGCAAGATATCCGATAGTAAAAACTTTCCTATTTATGCCCTCTTGCCAAACCATGTCCCTCAAACGATAATTCATTCTGTACCACAACATACCATAAATACTGTATCTTCAATACTTACTCTTCTTCAGTCTTTGGTCGCTTACGAGGAAGTCCAAAGCTGGCTGCCATAGCATTCTGAGTGATAGCTTGTAGTCCAGCATATCCATGCTTATTCACCATTGGAGGTGGCACAGCAGAGAGACTATGAGATTCAAGGGGGCTCTGATTAAGCTGAGGTTCTGGTTTTTTTCCTCCTAGTGTAAAACTTCCAAAACCAAACCCCCTTGGTCGCCCATCACCACCCTTGTGAAACATTTCTTCTAGTCTAAAGAAAAAAGTCAGTGAGATCACTCATCAAATTCATGCATTTTCTACAAAGATTCATAGAAGTTATAAAACTGGCATAAACATCCTGCCCCAAATGCACCTTGCATTTATCTATGTCACCATAAGGTATGAAGATCAAAACATAAAAACTTGGAAAATATAAGCAAATGTTTCACTATTATTTTCAAAGGAGAATGAAAATACACCATTTTTTATTCTTCTCAATATAAAGTGATTCATTACTTCATCTTATAAAACCAATTCTTAGTTTTTCGAATGAAAATTTATTTTAAAAATGACTTAAGTACTAAATCTTGCTATATTTCTCACCACACATCTGAGTTTCATTAATCTAATAGCAGTGTTATCTCAACAGGAGAAACCTGTCACATAGATGCCATTTTACATTACATTTTTAAAAAATCATTCATAAAATAAATTTCCAAACTGGTTTCATAAGTGAAAGTCTAGAATTTTAACAAATCACAATTAATAAGATTTGCAAGTATTAAGTTGGGCAATATAGATTTAATTACCAAATGTTGATTGCCTTTGATTGACCAAATTCAGTGTGTTTCTAAAAGGCAAACAGCTGTTTTTTATTTAAATACAGTACTTTAAGCATTTTCATTATTTCTAACAGATTTAAGTTATGTATTTTATGTTTCATGTGTACTGTAAATAAGAAGAAATCCTCAATAGTCGTGGCTGTAATTAGATCTCAAATTGGTCAAGAGATGAAGCTATGAGCTAAAAGTTTGTACATAAAAAAAAAAAACTCAGAGTCATTCTATGAGCCGCTATGTTGTAGCTAAAAAACAATGGATTCTGATCCATATTGTGCTGTGTGTTCTTCTATCTTTGCAATAATTTTTTGTCGTTTTCTGGAAGCCAGGAGAGTTTGAAGCTAGAATGAAAACATGCCGAAAGAATCGAATCATCATTATTGAACACCTTGTCAAACTTTATTTCTATGCTTTGAATTAATACTTCAACTTGGGGTTTACAAATTTGCAACTATTTATTGTTCAAATTGCCAACTTGGCTAGACAAACAGTTGCTGTGATTGATCATAAATTAGGTTATAGTGGCACTCCTGATGTGAACATGTGACAACTGGGATATTTGCACCTGTATGATACTCTTAACATCCCTGTGCAATTTTACCTTTCTATACCTTACCATTTGTAAGATATGGCATGTTGAACTATAAAACTTCCTTTACAATCATCCTGTATATTAATGGTCAAACCTTCCTGGCGATATTTTTTTTTTTCTATATGTCTGAAAAAATGTTTCAAATAATTACTACATCTAGCAAACTCTGATTTATTATTTTCTATTAAAATTAGTTTTGTTGGTCAAAACTCTCACATTCTTCGATACATTTTGAAATATGATATTCTTTTAAGAAATTAAAGGCATATTCAATGAACGGATACCTGATGTAGGCCTATGCCAAAACTAGAAATGTTTTTTAAATCTTTTATTTTTGTGGTTGTTTTTTAGAGTAATAAAGTTTATTAACATTATATAAAAAGTTGTTTTTAAAAATATCATGAAGCAATATTTATTTTCATCAACAAAAGTTCAGTAGTAATGTAGAAATTTGTAAAGAAACCCACAGAATGCTATTAATCACAATTTCAGCATGTTACAGGTTTAGTACTTTATTACATACATGATACATATTTATGTAAAACAGTTCAGAATAAAAAGTAACTTAATCCTAAGTTATTTTGCTTAAAAGGTAATTTGAAAATGTCTTAAATGAAACCAAAACAAGCTGAAAATAGGAAGATTATTCTCATGTGAGAACAATCAGTTAGTTGAATAGAATCAATTAATGAGCCTGAAGAGAAATTGATTAGCAAATTCCACTAACTGCCTAGCTCTTCTTATGAATTTATGATAATGGAAAACACCTTTTTTGTAGTCTTACTGAAAATTACTAGATGTGCTGGTTGAGCCTATTCTGGAATGGTTCAAACATTCTTGACAATTTTACAATGGTTTACGTATTGTAATAGATATACTGCATCATATATTCATTAAAAATAGAACTTATTATTTACAAGTATCTGCATTTTTTAAATTAAGCACAAATGTTAGCAGTTTTTAGATGGATCTTCTGAGGAGCACAGAAGTCCAGTTCTTAAGTGGTATCAATCACTATTTCATATTGATTGATGTAGTATGTTAGTTGATATGTAAATCTGCTTCTTACTAAACAGTATATATATATAGAGAGAGGGTGGAGAGAGACATACAGCTACTGGAAAGGTTGGGTGCTGATTCACTCCACTTAGATACTTTGCTAACTTAACCCATTAACTGCGACAGGAGCAGCTCAGTTGTCATTTTCTGACTCACAGATAAAACTGAGTTGCCATCAATCACAATAAGACGGTAATTTTCATCATTCGCATAGAGTTATAGTTATATATATGCAACTGACAGATATTTCTATCATTCACAGCTGAGCCATAGAACTTCAATGACAGAAATATCCATCATCCGCAGTTAATGGGTTAAATATCTTGGTATCTGTATAAATAATATGTTTGCATTTGCCTGTCAGGGACTTTTCTCACAAATGTTAAAAGTCCCATATCTTCAGAAAGGACTTTGTCTGAGGAGTCCAGATTGCATATTGGTTTTCTATTCAGAATCACCTTACCTGTTTTTTGCTTAGTCAAACTTTTCAGTGCAACAAGTATGGTACATGATAACAATGTTGTTGTCATCACATAATGACTGGCTTTCATTTCAGCTTTAGAATTTTATTTGCAAAGTATTTCACACAAACAACACTAAACCCACATGTAATTTCCCCCCAAAAATTAATATTACACAAAATATAATTTCTATGGGCTTTTTTGACTTATTTAGGTCTAAAATATGCATGCACAATTTGTTCAAAACCATATGCTTATCACTTCGTGAACATGCACTCAGCCATTTCTGCATATTCAGCTATGTTTGTCTTCATTACAACTTTACATTTACTTTACTTTTCAATAATTTAGCTTTGGTTTGTTTCATAGACTGCTATAAACACCTTTTAATTGCTTCTGTTTACTACAGGTTTTATTCTTTGTTTTCATGAGTTTCTTTGTTTCAACTCCTAAACCATGTCATACACTAAATGTTCTTAACTGTTTCATACTCTGTACACAATTATAAACACCATTACTTTACTTTATTGTTTACTTTAGATGTAGTTTTGTTAAACAAAGTTACATACGTGTAGTTTTATTAAATAAAGTTACATCTAAGTGAGTTTGTTTGTCTGACCACATAAAAATTTTTCAACTCAACCAGAATTTATTGGTCTAACACATAATGCCTGCAAGAAAGTGTTGATTAAATGGCGTGCATGAAAAATGATAGAATAAGGAAAATTCAAGCAAAGAGCATAAAAGCTACTGCAAATGTTTGACGGGTTGCAGCTAGTCCTTAAATATACATTCATCCCTTTCTTCAAGTAAATTCAAAACATTTTAATAAGCAATCCATCCAAGAAGTGCAGTGACACCCGATCTAATACTCATAAATGCTGAATGACTGCTTGGGATATTTGTTTTCCATTTGTTCCAAAAACATATGATTGTGAAATGGTTACTGTTAAGAATGGTAACACATTGAATATTGTACTAGTCTTAGTAGCATTCCTTAAATAAGCATGTTTTAGGTCTAAAATAAGAACAAATATAATTAAAATTTATTCTGTATTAGTAATAAACTGATAATACTTTGGGTATCATTACACTTTTACAATGATTTGTAATTAAAGTATTTTGTCATGATTTCTTTATTTAGGGATAGAAAGGTCCAAGTGAAGTAAAAGGACCAAATAAAAGCCCCACCTCCAGTCATTCCATTTGATGGGTAACTAACACTTTGGGGAGGTCAATGTACTGAATGTATCTATCTGAATAGCTATGGCATTTCTATGTAGATTGCTTGATATAAACACATGCACGTACATGTTAATGAAGCAGAGCTATTCAATCTCTACAAATATATTTTTGTTTTCATAATAGAGGCACTTTTAAGGATAATTCTTATTAATCATCCCCAGGACTTCATTTTGTTTTCTGTTAGAGGTTACACCTTAAGAATAGATTTCAGAATAAATTAATATCATGCATATATAAATTAAAAACACAGCGTGAAATTTTTATCATATCATTAGCATAGTAAATTGGCATCTTGCAGAAAAATGTACTTGTGAAAAAACTTGAAGACCATCCAACTGTTTACTTTGAACATAAAACAACTGTAAAAATACTTATTACTTCACTGCAAAACTAGACTTTCCAACTATATATTCTATCATGCTAACACAGTTATTTTCAAATTTTGTGTAAAATAAAACTATGTCACAAAATTGCCTTTAAAGCCTATTTTTGGTCAATTGCAATGCCAGGTTTCAAACTAAGGATTGGTTTGTTATAACTTTTAAAAAGTTATAAGTAGGCCAAACAAAGAGCACATTATTTAAATCAGATTTTAAAATCCTATTGTCAGAAAGGCAATCTCAGGAAGATGACAGTATATATTTGTAATCTCTATTTAATTTGTCCAACACTTACCTTCACTTTATCTGTTTTATAAATAGAACTGCATAAATACTGCTCAATACACCATAGAAGTTAACTATTGATCACATTTGTAAATGTTCTTCTACTTGATGTTTATACAATTCAAAAATGAAGCAAAGAAATTTAGAAATACATTTTTGAGCAACTTTTTTTAGTGTATGCAGTATTTTCATTCATATAACTTTCTTTTATTCAAATTCAACTGTTTAACCAAACTAAAGAAAAAGTAAAAAAATAATAATTATTAGGAATTACAGACAAAAAATAATAATTTAATATAGAATTTAAACAACTAATTCTCTCAAGTTCAAAGTAAAAATAATGGTTTAGAAATCATTAAAATTAATAATAAAATATTTCAAGTATAAAAAGCTTTTGTTTCAGCTTTCTT